TTATAATCCTTGGATATCGAGGAAACTGGGTATAGACTCGCATGATCTAGGAACGGCTTTGAGGTTAGGTACGCGTATACGGAGCTAGTTGCGTGCTACGCGCGAAATTAGTATTTATGGGTGGCCTGTTAACGAGAAACGTTTTGTTCGGTTCGTAAGCGATGAATTACTTGGCCGATAGGTATTTCGAGAGAAAGAGGTTAGGAAGCGATTCGTGGTTTACGGGTCCTAAGTTTGATTTGTTAGGAGATTTGTTGGGAAACGTTCTTCGATCTTTTTTAATAGCGATTTTTACATTCCGTAACTTGAAATCCTAATAAATTCCATTTTCGACGTTTACTTTTATTACATTTTATAGGTGACGAGTAAAATTTATTCGTTGCGCATACATAGATCGAGGGTATATCCTCGAAGGATACGAGGCATGAAGATTGTGACATGCGCGAGAAACTCGAAAGAAACGATAAATTTGAACCGCGTGCAATAGCTTGAACGTAATAGGGAAATTTTCAGAAGCTCGTTTGAAACGATACACGACGGATAACGGAGCTTAGCCGATATTAACGTGTAATCCTAATTGTCGCATTCGTCGGTTGTATTATTAAAGTTCGACAAAAGCGTTTCTTTTTCCCGGGGACGGCCGGTTGATTCCGGGCAAATTCGTCCGTCCAACAATGCACAACAATGATGCCAATTAGCCGACAAAAGAGAATAATAGTATACCAGAAGAGGAACCGCGAGGCGCGGCCAGCCTCGAGACTAGAGTCTCGAAAACAGCAGTCTCATCCGTTGGTCCACGCTCTTTCTCTCTTTCCCTCCTCCTCCCCTCCTCCTCCATCCATCCATTACACTATTATCCCCTCGGCAAACATCCAGGATCCATCCGTGGACATTCGACGCATGGACTTAATGCCTCCCAGGATCGGGTGTCTGAGGAAGGGAGAGTGCAATTTACGCGCAAAAAGAACTAGGATGTGTTTCATCCTCATCATTTTTCGCAAAAAAGAAACAGCTTTCCTCCCTCCTCTCTGTTTAACAGGGTACAGCATACATAATAATGTCGCCGGTGAGCTTCAGCCGTGCGTGGCGTGGCGATGGTCCCAGGTGAAATATGAAAAGATTCTCGGCGAGAAATTGCGATCGTCCGGATTCTTTTTATCGCTGTTAACGCGTCAAAGATTCTTGAAGGCTTGTTCTTATCTTTTTTAATGGATGCGTTCGGATGGAACGTTTCCACTTTATCATATTTTTTCGGTATTTAGAAATTTTTATTAGCGAGAGATGGGGTTTGGAAAATTATTATACAGGGATGTAAGAGAGAACGAAAGAGAAATATGAGTTATACAGTGAATCTAAGTGTAATAGAATTTTTTTGATTAATGTGTGTAATCTTTGGAACGAAAGAGATTTTCATAAAATTGCAGGTACGTTAATTTCAATTTTATTTATTACAAAAAAAAATCAAATAACGATTTTTCCAAGATGAAAGTCAAACGTGGTACAACAATCGTTCGATCCGTTTAATGATGATAAATTATCGAGCGCCGCTTTCTTAATGATTCTCTCAATGTCACTGTACTTATTTCTCTTCTAATTACGGAATATCTTCTTCTCGCGAGAATAATGGACATTCAGCAACGATAATAAGTAACGAGAATACAAAGACACAGTCCTTCAAGGATTTTTCGTTAGAGGCCGTTCGTGACTAAACGCGAGCCACTCGACTGAAAAACTCCTCGGCTGAAAGACCGTGCGCGCGAAGACACGATCGTAGACAATTAAAAACCATAAAAACGTCGTTGCGAAAACGTTCGATAGAAATACGTGTTCAACGCTATCGGTCACGGTTTTCTCATGGTCATCGCTGCTTTCGCTATTTCTTCTTATTGTCTCATTGAAACAGTTACGTTCGATTCCATCTACGTCTAATACTTGCAGAAATCCTGCAAAGGTTATACTTCCCTAAGATCTTTCCTCCCATTAGAATACACCAAACGTATACGTAACAAGATCAGATAACACGATCATCGAAAGTATACAGAAATTATACACCGGTATAAAACGAACGTGAAACTTTGTCGACAACGAAAATTTTTTTCCCTATATTCCCTATTTCTTCGTTATTCCCATTCCTCGATGGAAACAAACATTCCTCGAATTATTTCCTTTCTTATTATTTCTAAAATTGTGCGATCTAAAATTTTTTATATTCATTTGCCACTTTCGGGAAACGTGATCTCGCATATAACGAAGCGTCTTACGTCTTATTTCGTATCTGTACGTTTAACATTCAAAGAATAATCTCCCTCCTCCCTCCAAAAAAAAAAAAAAGAATATTCGCAATAATCCCGATTTTATCGCGAAATACACGAAGTCGAAGCGCCATCGAGGGCATTGAAATCACCCAGCGTGCGGCGTGAAAAAGACCAGCGGAAAGAAAGTCTCCCTCGATTCCATCAGAAACCACTTGCACAGCGATCCAAGATTCAATTTCCTTGCATCTCTATACCCTTGAAACACGAGTTGAAATAAAAATAGAGAGGGGCGTCGAAATGTATCGAGCATCTTTGCCAACAGCATTGGCAAGTCGATACGTATCTTATTCGATTAAACGAGAGCGAGCGGATGCATCGTCACGTACGTGTCCTTAAGAGGTTCTCGAAGAAAGTGTCGTCGGAAAGTTGATCACAGAGTTGGAATATTATAAATCTATAAACGATTTTTGCCGAAAAAGCATCGTGTAACGAAGTTGACTGGTTGGATTGGCGCTC